TTTTGTCATCGGAGGGAGAATAATAACTCGAGGAGAAAAANATATATCTCTATTTTTGTTTCGTGGAATTTTGAGGAATTGGAATTGGAATTTTTGGCAGAATAAAATTTTTTTTATCATCCCTTCATAGAGAATAATAACACGAGGAGAAGGTCGTGATATACTTTTATTTTCGTTTGGAATTTTGAAAAAATATTTTTGACAGAATAGAATTTCTTCTACTTTTCTCCAACATTTCTTTTTTTTATCGTGTTATCATCCCTTCATACATGGAGGATAATAACACGAGGAAAGGGATCGTGATACATTTCTGTTTAGAATTTAAAAAAAATATTTTTCATAGAATAGAATTTCTTTTATTTTTCTCCGCTTTAATTGTTCTATATCCCTCCTACATCCTCTTGTTATTATATCATTGTCGCTCCATACGTGGAAAATGACAACACGAGAAGAAAAATCGTGATATATATTTTTTATTTTCGTTTCGAGGGATAGAATATATTATCCATACATGGAGGATGACAACACGAGAAGAAAAATCGTGATATATATTTTATTATATATTTCGTTTAGAAGAATTCTTTTCTAGAATAGATATTCTTCTTCTGAAAAAAAAATAATTTAATAATTTCAACGGATGAAGATTCGAGATTAAATAATTTCGACATTAATTTCGAAATTAATTTCAATTCATTCAGATGGGATTAAAAAATTTAAAAGTTAACGTATTTAACGTGATAGCAATTGCGAGGCAGGAGCGCAGGTGCGCGATCGAACGTGGCGTAAGTGTCCTCTGTGAACTTTAAAAGGTTTCCACCAACCACGCCGCGGCCCGGCAAACAACACGTTGTCGGCATGCGCGTCACCTCATTTTGTCAAACATCAATTACCAGGGCAAACAAGGCGGGATGGTGCTCGACCGGCGTACATTAAATACATGCACCGCCCTCGGCCACGCTGACACAATATCCGACATTTAATGGACCGATCCCCGTGCCAAACCGATTCCTCCCCCGATTAAAGGAAATATTTAGAAAAACTCACTCGACACTCGACTCGATACTTCACCAATAATTTAATTTAAATTTCTTATTAACTTCCCTCCTCCCAGTCGATCCAGTCCAATTCCAATAAAATTCCACGGATCCCAAGAATTCTCCTCCAATGAAATTTCTCTAACGATTATTATTATTATACCGCAACGATTCTTTCTGCTTCGATTCGTTGGCTCGCGATACGTTCGTATAAAAATTTCCCTAACTAACTAATTTCCAAATCGAAAATTTCTCTCATCCCTCCCTCTTCTCTGCTAACCGTAGAAAAGCAGGTAAATTTTCGCGAAGAGACGAGAGAGAGAGAGAGAGAGAGAGAACATGGTTACCTTTTCCCCTTTTGTCAGAAGAGCGGAGAAACTTCGAGCAGAATTATGGCCAGGGACCAGCGTACATATATATACACATATATATGTACATTATACACACACACACATATATATATATATATACATTCGAAACGGTCTAGACTTAAAATCTAAGTAGCCGAGGCATCGTACTACGTGGTACACACTAGTCTAGTAGAAGGAGAATTCTGGACGATTGGACAATTTCGAAAGATAGATTTCGAAGAGGGGGATTTGAAGAAAAGAATTAGAAAAAGGAAAGGACACGAGTGGTGGTGGTGGATTCAAGTTTGGGAAAAAGATGAAATCGGGAAGGATAGATACGAGGGATGGAAAAGAAGTTAGAGAAAAAGGAGATGGAAGTACATGGAACTCGACGAGAGGGTAGTACCGGTTGAGGAAAGAGGGAGGAGGAAAAAGGGAGGAGGGAAGGAAAGATAACGAAGGGCAGATAGAGGGATTCGACTAGAAACTAACAAGAGAAAATTGCGCTGGTTGGAGAGAGAGAGAGAGAGGAAGGGAGGGAGAGGAGGGATGCTGGGTTGTCGAGGGGTGCATCCGGGATCTCCGAGGGTGGCGATTCGTGGGGCGGGCGGTCGGTCGTCATGGATACGTTCCCGGCTAACCCCTAACCGCTCCTCCTCCCTTGTCATCCACATTTTCGCGACTACGCCGCCATCATCGACCCACCATCTTGCACGGGAGGACCGACCACGAGATGCGCCGCGTTCTCCTCCCCGTAGTTCGAATTTTTCGGCCGCCCGATTTTCACGCTTCTCACGCAAAAATAATCCGACGATTACTACATGCTTTCTGAGGATGGCCAATCAGATTCGTCGAGCGATTATCAAATCTTGGAATTCTCTCGAAAAATCGTTTCTTCTGCGAAAAATTAAGCTCTCTTATCCGTTACAAGGAACGAAGATTCTAATTTTAATATCACCGAGAAGAAGAAACGGGGGACTCATTGTGTATATTTATCCGTACCTTGCAAACAACCTTGCGCAGGAGAATTCTATTTTTCCAATAAGAAAAAAAAAAAAAACCGCGTAACAAATTATTACTCGGCCAGAACTATCGCCCATTTCCTTGGAAACTCGTCCACACCGTGGGGAAAGATGGAAAACCTATCCGGCGCGTGAAGTTTTGAAGGCGGGCGGCCGATAAATTTCCGTGGAGAGAGCAGGATATTGGTGTGGCTGTGAAGAGAGAGAAGGCGAGCGGGCAGGCAGTCGACGACCGTTTTGCTCAGTTGGCAGCGGTTGCAACCCTCGTGCAATGCACCCCCTTCCCCCTTCCTCCTCCTCCTCCTCCTCCTT